AAATAAACCCCGGTTACTGCCTCGAAACGACGCCCCGATTCAATTCGACGCCCCGAATCAAAGGAAAAATCTTTTTTTGACAAAAAGTATGCCTGACTTGGGGTCTAATTTGAAACTAAATTTAACCGAAGCCATCTAATTTTTCTCTCACTTCCCGAGCGGATGGGCCAAAAAAAAGTGACCACACTTGTTATTCGCCATCAAAAAAAGTTCCAACCCCAAAATTTGTGGCCAAAGTCCGAAACTTTCGAACTCAGGGAGTAAGAACTCAGGCGCCCTCAACCGACATCCTTTCAGGTCGCGCAATCGGTCCACATCGGGCCCAAGGCGCGCTTGTCCTGTGGGGTGTCATCTGCCTGGTGCGCCCAAAGGTCGAACTCGTCGAAAGGAGGCTCCTCGCTCGCATGCCACGCTGTTGACGAAACCACTTCTTGGTTTCTGGAAGGACCCAAAAAGTAGTTAATTGTTTTTGTGGCTCCAAGTGGAACAACCATTTACTTCCCCAAAGTTGAAGTCCAAAGATCCAGCGCAAACCTTGTGGATTATGAGTCAGTATGACCTGTGGAAATATGAGGGGATCGCCTTTTGGAACCTTAATGGACCACGTCAGGGAAAGGTAGGCTTTGGGCAAACTGGTAAGCTGGGTGATGACCCACACACACGTCCCCCGAAGTGGAATTTACCTTGTTCTCCATGGACTGTAACTTCAGGTGGCTAACCTGCCGAACATCCAAGTAGGGCCCCCAAAGAAAAGACAACCCCAGATGGGGCCTACTAGGTTGACAACCATGATCTGGAAGCATAAGCAAATACACACATAAACATATATAAATATATAAATACAGATATATGCAAATATGTGTAATACATATCTCTCTCCTGTGCGAAAAGAAGTTACATGGGCATATCTCTCTCTCCCCCTTTGTTTTTCTCCGCGGCTCCACCACCGCATCCGTCCCATCATCCAGGGAGTGCGTTGTTTCCATCGCCATCGCCCCGAACTCCGCGCGGCCGGGCTCAAGGCTTCGTGGCGCGCGAGACAAAACCACGAGAAGCGCTGCAGCCAGACAGCTGGCGAGGGCGCGACTCGAGGCGCAAACAACTGGTGAGCAATAAAGTTTGCTTGTTTGTCATCTGGATGTGTCTGTAGGGGACCCCCAAAATGGTGCGTATGACTGTTATATATATATATATATTGTATTGTTGCTCTATATCTCTCATCTCTGCCTAATTAGTGCCATCTCGTGGTGTTTCAAATGGTGACCCACTTTTTTTATGACACGGCTTCTGAAAAATTGGCACGAGGATGCTACATGCACGTTTGGTCCGTGAGTGCAAGCTGGGACCTGATAAAGCCTGAAAGGCCCTTGGGATACCCCCCTTTTTTCCGAGCCACGATGGGAACTGTTCAGTTGACATTCGTTAATGTGAATACGTGCCATGTTGACCGGATTGATAACCAGCTCCGGTTGATTTAATCGAGGGTGTTTCCCCCAAAAGTGATGACCCGACCAAAACCAACAAGGGGGCCCCACTTAGATCCGGGCTTCCCATTGCACGCCGCCCCTTGCAAACCACAAGAATTCCCGGTCAAACTCTTGGGGATTGCAGAGTTGCAGAGTGCACCGGGGCAACCCGCAAACCAGAAGGATTGCAGAGCGCACCGTGCAACCCAACCCTAAGAATTGCAGACCGGTGCAACCTGAAACCCGGAACTTGTTAGGATCGCAGAGTGCACTCATGGCAACCGACAGACAAACAGACAGACAAACTAACAAACACGCATACTGTACTCCTTCCAGGATGTCGCCCTGTTGATCCTCCCTTTTCTCGCCCCATCCTGCCTGCCCCCCACCTGCAACAAACATCACATCTAGACACTCCCGTAGATTGCCATACGCACGAACGAGTGCCTTTTTTCGGGTGGTTGACAGTTCATATGTTTCAGGAAAAATGGCACCACTCCAAATGCCAGCCTGAAACGGGCTTTCTCAGTCCCTTTGGATTTCACCACGGCGTAAACAACTGAAGCTGCACCCAATTTCGGTACAGAAGCCCAGGCTAACGCCCAGACTTTTGGACGCTGATCACATCTTGGGGCCGTAAAAGCACACAAAAAGAGCAGCAAACCGACAAGCTCTTGGTTGCCGGAAGCACTCCTGTGCAAAAAGTGAGCTTAACTTTTTGTGAGTCAAATTCAGAAAATCCCACTGGTTCAATCAAACAGTTAAAGCACAAAGACCCCACCAGGTAGCCATAAAGAGCTATTGCAACTCAACCAGTAGTGTTCGACTCTGGTCAATACTTGACCCTGAAAATAATTGTTCATGTCAGAAAAAAACACCAGGGAAAACCAAACAAAGCGCATCCAAACGGATTTCTAGAAACAAAAGCAGTCCCAGTTTAACCACTGCTTTCTGCACTGCTGGCCTGCCGGCAGCACCAGCGCTTCCATGCACTTCCATGGGAATGGGACTGCATCAAACACTTACTGCGGTGGATGCGCTGAAATTTGCTGTTAAACGCAATTTTAGAGGAGTCGCCTCTTGGGAAACACGCCTTTTGGCTTCCACGTTGACTTGCGACAGGGTATAAGTGGGACCCAGAAACATGTATCTAACCATGGCTGGCTGGTACTTGGAAAAGTGGGGACCCGGGAGAAACCAGCGCCTGTGTCTCACCAAGATTGGCGGGTGCTTGGATGCCTCCCAAAGTGGCTTGATTGCTTGTTGATGCGAGAACAGCCAGTCCCTTCTCTCTTGACTGTCGCTACAAGCCGGCCGAAGCAGCAACGTCCTCCTTACTCGATCAGGTCATGGGTTTGCTGGTGGAACTGAAAGGGACGCCAAGCGGGAAAAAAGTGCAAATGAGATTCTGGGCAACTTGAAGACGCTCCAAAAGATCGCAACAAGCAGAACAACCTGAAGAAACAGCCACCCCCCTCTCCCGGGAGCAAACGTTCAGAAGGAACCGAGAAGAGGTTCGTCGAATGGATGGTAAGGCTCAGTACCACGACCTTAAAGAGTAACCAGAACCAGAGTCGCGCACACGTGATGCTAGTATGCCTCAGCCAAACATACTCAAGCTAAATGGGCAGCTGAACTTCTCTCAAACTTAGAGGCACATAGAAACTGAATTGTTAAGCCAAACAAAGTCAAACTCTTTGTTTTCCACCAAAACCCTCTTCCCAAAAAGCGACTAAAGAACTCCAACCAAACGGGGGGGGGGTCCCAAACAAAGACGCCCCACAAACATTGTTACTAAAGCAGGTTGAGAACCGGCGATCCTTCCGCGGACCGCTCGGGCGATTCAGTCTTAGCGGCCCCCTGCCAATGACTCAGTTGTGTCGGATGGGACCCAGAAATGAAAGGTGATCACTTTTGGGCAGTACAGGAAAACCAAAAGGTCCAAAGGTTAGCAGGCTTGGAGCAACTGAGAATAAAGTCAATCAGAAAGGGAACGAGCCGTGAAAGCCAAACGAAACAAACGAAACCCGTTTTTCGTTCACTATTTCTCCCAGTTGCCCAGTCACCAGCAAAAGACATGGAGCCATATTCGCTTGATGCCACTTGTGTCCCGTAACAAAAGTGTTCACCCGCCTGCCCACTTTGCTATGGAACCTGACCTCAGTTGTTCAGTGACCCTGAGAAAAAAAGGGAACCCTTCTTGGGGAAGACCATTTTTAGTGGGGCAGCCACAAAAAAAGAAAAAGGGTGCCACTGAACAACTGAGTGACGTGGGGTCCTGGACCCGTTTTTCTTTCTAAGGGACCCTCTGGTTCCACGGCAACGCGGACAGGCGATATGGAAAACCCAGCGAACTGGTCGCGGCACTCGCTTGCGACGCCTGAACAGTGGGGCATCATACACTGGTCTGTGTGCAGACAAAAAAGGGTGCGTGGCTGTCAACTCACAGTGGTGATTGACTGCTTGTGCTTCAGGAAAATAATGACTAACTCAGGAGTCATAATTCAACCCCGTCACATTGTAAGGGTGCTCCCTCCAAAAGTGACAAAACGGGACACCTCATGAATCAAGGGTTTATTCATCCGGGGTTAAAACCACAATGTGTTGCTCCAAAATGAATGGAATGGCCCTCAGGTGCATCCCAGTCAGAAATGCCGCAGCGTTCCGGTTTTCCAACCTGCTTCGCTGCCCGGACGCATCCGCGAACCCGCAACGGGTCTTGCTTGCGAAACCCGCGGGTTCTGCTCGCGGCTTACGGAAGACGGAATGAAACTGCTCGCGGGCCCCCCAAAAGCAAACATATATGTGTGCACATGTATTTCTGTATTTGTACACACCATCTATACATATATATATATATATACATATACGCGTACACACACACTATATGTATATGTATATGTATGTGCATATGTGTGTGTATGCGGTTAGCTACATAATTACTTTACATTACACATGTCGTTCCGAGTTCCCTTCTCCACTTGTTTCCTTGCCGTCGTGGCGATTTCTGCCTTTAGAAGGCCTCGCGGCGTTTTCCCTCTCACTTTGTACACGTTCGCTTGCCGACCCTGGCCACTTGAAGATGCCTTGCCACCTTCAAGTTGAGCGCTCAGGAAAAGGTCAGGCCTCGCGTTTCCTTGCCCCCCCCCCCCCCGAGGCCCCGAGGCCCCGAGAAAACCACAACCAAACAAAAAAAAGGAGAAACCACGGGCGCGCGTCGCGGGAGTTGCTTCGCCCCTGACGGGGAAACTGGCAGATGCCACTTTGGGGAACCATCCGATGCCAATGATGCCCATTCTCAGTCGCCCAAAGGACCCAGAAATAAAAGGTTAACCTTTTGGGGCCTTTACTAAAAATAGACGAAATTTGGAAAACCAAAAGGTTAAAAGGTTGGCTTTGGGCAACTAAGGTGCCGCCTCTGGAGCCTCGAAGACTCAAAGGCCGGGCCAGGATCTTGTTTGAAGCTCCTTTTGACTTCCAAGGCCTTCCGTTGCGACTAAAAAGGCCTTCCAAGTAGAACATCCGTGAACTCAGGAAGTGAGTTGTCCTAAGGCTCCAGGTGTTGACTCACCATCACCCAATCCGTCGGCCACTCGCGGGATCTAATCAGAAGACCTCGACGAGCTCAAAGGACGGGAGGTCCGGGTACTTCAGCAGCGTGACCCAGGCCACGCCTCGAAAACCCCCCAAAAAAATATTGGTTGCTGTTGACCAGTACCTGCACCCTCAAACTAGCCATAAACAGGGGAAGAAATCTTTGAGTGCGCCCCGTTTTGGGGCGGCAGAAAAAGAAGAAAAAAAAGAAGGGAGCCACCTAGAGTTGAACCTTTCCCTTAGACAAACCCAAAAGAACAACGATCACTCGATTCCATGGCTGGAAGTCTGTCCTTTTCGGTGAAGCACAGATTCCTTTTCCTGACTTGCTGAGTGGATGGCCCCAAAACAAGTCCAAACTTGTACTATTTACCACTAAAATGGTCATCCCAAGAAGCTTTTGAAGCTCATGAACTCAGGCAAAGCGTCTGATTCGATGAAACACGGAGTCCTTTCAGCCGACCCCAAGACCCCAAAGTTGGAGCCCTGGGCCAAGTGGCGCGTGGGAAGAGCAACTTGGCCCCCGCCCCCGCCGAAAATAAGGGACGCCACCAAAAAGGATTAGCCTGCCCCTTAAAACTCCCTGCGCCCTGGGGCAGTTTTCATCTTTTACAGACATATGGCCCATGGTACCCAGAAAGTTGGTAAAAGTGGTGTTTTTAAGAGGTAAGTTAGAGACTTGCCCAGGGAAGCCAAGAGTGTACCACTTGTGCTCAGGGAAGCCAAGAAGTGAAGAGTGAACAACTTGCCAGCTCCACGCTCCCTTTACCTTCAAGGGGGGTCAATGTCGGGGTTTGGTGGTCGAAACATGCTTGAATACTTTGGTGTTGGGCCAAGTTGGTAAGTTGTTGGTAACCTAGGCGATGACCCACTTGTAAGCCCAAGAGGAGATAACAATGTTACTGTATTATTGGGTTATGGCCCTAATCATCTCTGCTCTTGGTATGGTAGCGAAAAACTTTGTTTTTTGCAGACCCCCAGTAAAAATGAACAGAACCAACAAAGTAAAAAAAACAAAAAACATGCCAAGAACAGTGAAGTAATTTGCCCGAACATCCAATCAGGGCCTCAGGGAACGATGACTTGCTGGCCAAGGATCCTCCCTCCGGCCCGGGCCGCGAGATGGGCATACGCACCAGTCCCTCCTACGAGGTCAAGAGGGTTTCCCACCGCAACTGGTCCTACATGTCTGCCATGTCCTAACTGCTTCCATGGCCTCTGGTCATGGCTCCCTTGATTACCAGGATCCAGGTGGATGACCCTCCCTGTTAACCCTTTCGATGGGATCATGGTTAAGGATCCCTACAAGGTCCATGACCACCCCTGGCAACACCAAGTAACTGGTTTACTTTAGTCTTTTAACATGGGTCCATCGGGGGGGTTTGCCGCGAGTCCAATGCATCTCTGCGTTGCAACCGACAGCAAGAGCAGCAACATCTTGTTTTCACATGTCGCTCATCCACTTCAAGTTTGTGTACATTTCTGCAGGCGGGACAGCATCTTCATGCCGTCGCCTGTAGTTGGCAAAGGCTTCCACTATTGATTCGAGGCTAGGTGTGGTGGAAAAGAACATGGCTGCCATCGGATTTATATGTTCCATGCCAAGTGATGCATCCAGCCTACCGGTCAAGTTCATCCTTCTCATGCTCCGTTTCATCGTCGAAGCCAGCGGCTCGCAAGCCTGATCTCCCCCTATGATCTTACCAGCAGAAGACCCCGCTGGAATCATCATGGGTTTCTTGTACTTGCCACCTTTCTTCATCAAGGACTTGAGCAGTTTCTTAGGCACGTGCTTCAAGGAGACCTTCTTCACAGGTGTGCATTCGCTTTGCGATTGCTTGGCCCTCACAGAAGTTAGTCCCAGCTGCTTCCATGCCCCGGCCAAGCCCTTGCTGCTGTCGCTTCCGACCAAGTGGTGCTTTACAGCTGAAGCTCCGGAGCCGAGGAACGCACGCTCCATGGCGAGGATGTTGACCTGAGCACATAAAACACCCCGTGAAAGCATTGATCCACCAAAATATAAATAGTAGTCACCCGTGTAAAAACGGTACTGAGTTCAGGCCGAAAAGCCCGCGTAGCCGCTTGCGAGGCTGTGGCGACTGGTCCATGATCCGCAACCGCTGCAAGTGGCACGGGCATAAGCATGCCGCTACCAACCCGAACCCCCCCCCCCCCCTCCCCCCACCCCCCCCGAACACGTGACATGTTGCGTCCACGGAAAGGAAATTTGCCGCTAAAATGCTGGTAAAACACACATGATATGCAAATAGGAACAAGTGCGACTGTTGAAAGTGCGGCAAACCCCCCCCGATGGACGCAACACCAAGTAACTGGTTTACTTTAGTCTTTTGACCATGGCAGGAATGGCAGGTTGATGCCCAAGGCCTGGATTTTGGTTGGGAGATTGTTGCCGCGCTCCCCATGTCCCCCGCAAATGGACCATAGACTACTTGATATTTCAAGGTAACCTCACATATGTGCCTCCTTTGGCCGGCTCGATGCTATGTTAGGGTTTACTTTTCGCTGATGCTGTTGCTTGCCAGGGGTCTCGTTGAAAAGGGGCCACAAGAAGAGTCCAGACCATAGGCGTCCTTTTTGGAAAACAGATGGGCTTCCCTGGTAGATGAGGAAAAAAAACACTAGGTGAACCAGAACCTTCTATGTTTGAACCAAACCAAAAAGGACACCTATGGTCCAGGGTGACCCATCTTCAGCCTGTTGAGAAGCAAAACCCCCAAATGCTCCCTCGCTCGCTTCCCCCACGGGAAGCGCGCTTGGGGAAGCCTCCGGGAGGCGAGAGTGGCGAGAGGCGATGGCTTTGCCCATGGCGGAAGTCAGAAACTGGTCCCTGGGTTCCCTTTTAACTTACCCCTTAAAACTCCCTGCGCCCTGGGGAAGTTCTCATCTTTTACAGACATATAGCCCATGTTACCCAACAAGTCGAAAAGTTGTTTTTTAAGAGGTAAGCTTGGGTGACTTTGATACTGCTAGAATCTTGGGGGGGTTGCCTTCTTACCACTTGGGTGCACAGGGGTCCTTTTTGAGAAATAGTTGGGTTTCCCTGGTTGTTGATCGAACCAGGCAAACCAGGAATCGCCCTCTATGTTCAACCAAATCAACCAAAAAGGACGGCTATGCTTGGGTGACTTTGATACTGGTAGAATCATCCCGTCATGACTGCTGAGTTTGAACTGCACTCGCAGTTCGCCATGTACCTCCCCCTTCCGGAAGAACTCCATGAATAGACGCTTGAGTTGCTCAAGGGGAACCACTCCCCAAATGTCACCTTGAGAGGGCCTAAGGGAACTAGTTCATGAAGATGCCCCCCTCACTTTTCTCTTCCCAATGCCAGCTTCCATTTGGTTTAAGCCCCTTCAAAAATTACAGTAGTGAAATCGATTCCCTTTAAAACCAAACAGGAACAAATAGAAACATACATTGTAAACGCAAATGGGATTCCAACAGTGATAGATTCCAGTAGTGATAGATTCCGGGAGAAACAAAAACATACTTACTTCAGCTTCGTGGAATCGCTAGAATCTTCCCTAGGCCCCTGACCACGGAGTGGTTCTTTGCAAAGGGAAGCCAAGAGGGGCTCCTCGCCCGTGCGCTGCCATGGCCCGAGCTGCTCCAAGATCTGCCCGGCAGAGACCTTGCCGCACCTCTCGGAGCTGACTTCGCAGCTCTTCCGCAGCCATGCCTCGAGTCTCGAGGCGAGTCTTGAGCGAGGCATCGCAGTCCTCATGGGGTTTTGGGCGCCCCTGAGTTCTCACTTCCGATGTGGTTTCTGGCCAAACAACGTAGCCAAATTTGTTGGTTGCCACCCAAATGGTCCAAACCCGAAAAAAAGTCAAGCAACTCAGGAAGTGAGTGAAAGAGGATGCTGTGTTCCATCTGTTTTCCATCCAAAAACGCGCAAAAAAGAAGGATGTCGAGTTTAGAACTTCACATTTCGCCTGCCCAAAAAAAACAGGGCGACCCTATCCACAAAGCAAAGCGCCAGAGGAGACCGGCGGCCTTCGAGAAAACACACGCCACTGTCTAGACCGCCAGGCCAGGCGGCCGGCGCCAGGGCCCGCCACCTGGCGCGGTCCGTGGCCAGCAGCAGGAGGTGGAAGAACAACGGCCCGCCGCCGGGGCGCGCGTCCAAGGTCACCCAGCCGTGCTCCAGTTGCATGCGCACCTCAGAGAAAGATGCGCCATGCGTTTTTGTACTCCATGGCGAAATCTGCGAAGCCCTGCTAAAAGTTGTTTTTTTTAGTGGTTTGATTCGGAAAGCCCATTGGTTGGATCAAAAAGTTAAAGTCCTAACATCCCTTGGCAAAATGCACCAAAGTTTCGGCACCTGGAAAAACTGAGAACATATGTCCAGTGGTGATAGGCTTCCTTTAAAGCCAACCAGACTTCATTCAGCTTCTCTCGCACTGTTGGTTTGGAGCCCAGTTTGGCGCAAAAGCCAGCAGTTCAAATCCCCAAAACAATCCAAACCACCAACCAGGCACACCTCCAAACCACCTTTTTCCACCAACTAGAGGGACGATGTCGAGAAGGTTTGGCAGGGGGCACTGGCGTTGCCGAAAAGTTGATCCACTTTCCGGCGGTATACTTATAGAAAGGATCGCCACTTTTTAGAGCAAGGAGAAATTGAAACAACCAATTTTCATCCAAAGTCGAGGGCCAAACCACTTGCCCTTGGGCAGGTGGTTTGGCTGATATATTTTACCGGGAAATATGGCTTCTGTATTTGAGCTGCTGTGGAGTTTTTTGCAGGGGCAACTACCCAGAGCTGCTCCTGAAAGTCCCTCACCACGTCATGCTGCATGACCAAGCTGGGACCGAATTCGCCCCTGGGCAGTGTATGCCAGCATTGTCTCAAAACAGTTGTGCTTTTGAACCTTTTAGCGTCCCTCTAAATCCTAGGCTGAAATTAGGACCCCAGCTAAAAAGTATCTTTTCTGCCTGCTTAGTGGAAAACAAAGGGGGCCCCAAAAAAGAAAAAAAAACAAAAAGGGGAACTAATTCTGGGGAAGCGATCATCAAGCCAGACACCCGAGCAGTTGGACCAAGAGCAAAACGCAAAGCACTGGGCTTGGCACCACTCCGTCGTCCAGGGGCACACAGCGACCCACCTGCTGCACCACCTGGCACGGACGCTCTCCGGAACCAAAGACTTTGAAGGGGTCGTGCAATTAACCACCTCCAATCTCTAGTTGGCAGAGTTTATGGTTAAGACTAGGACGGTATCTGATCGTCTTCGATCCAATAAGCCCCTACAAGAGGAAAATGATGCAAACCAGGTACCCTCCGAAAATTGGCACCCCAAGGGAGCATGTGCAACCGCCATGTGCTGGGCTTCTATTGTGACTTGGTCGTGGATGCCTTTTTGGAGACTCCCTCAGACCAAGCTCCCCGATGTTAGGGTTAGGCCCGGGATGAAAGTTGGAATCGCCAAGGCCTGGTGGGCATCGCTTGAGCCACCTGAAATGGTCTTGTGGCCCTGAAAACCCTCGGCGAACTCGACTCCGAAATTTTCCGTTTGGTTATATAACCACCCCCCACGTGGAACCCAACAAACCCACCCATTTGAAAAAACTCCCTTCGGGGGAATGGGGTTCCTTCCGTTAATATTCAAAACAGTTAGGTTCGCTTGGCCCGCGGAACGCTGGGTCCCTCCCTCGCCAGGAGCTTGTCAGGGACCCTGAACAATGCGCCGATCTCTCGTTCCTTTCGAGCAAGACCTACAAGCACCACCCACCACGGCACGTGTCCCGACCTGGACGGCACCCGCTTTCCGAAGTGTGGAACGCAGGAAATTCCGCCCAACAACTCGCACCTGAGGAACCGCCACAGGTTGCCAGGGCACGCCTCCCCGCCCAGAAACGGAAAGCCAAGAGGACCACCTCTCCAAGAGCCCAGGGCCCGGAGGCATCTTGCGCTCGTTGGCCTTTGGTCGCCCCTCGTGGCCGGTGGATGGACAAAAACCGCCTCACACCAAGCGCAAAACAAAACCGATGGGCGCCAACCCCGGAGGGGTTTATGTTGGAGCCACCAACGCTGTCTTGGGGTTTATGCTGGCCCCAAGAACGCTGTTTTAGGGGTGATGCTGGCCTCCAGATAGGGTTTTGCTGGCCCCAACACGTTTGAGGACTTATGTTGTGTTTAGGGCTTATGTTTGCAACACTAACACCTTTTAGGGTTTATGTTGGGCCCACCAATGCTGCTTAGGGTTTATGCTGGTCCCACGCAGGAGCGGTGACATGGGGCGGGCAAACCTCAGAGTGGCTGACATATCGAAGATTGAAGTAAACCAGCCACCAACTGCTACAGGATTTGTGTCTATACCCCGCCTGCTCCTGAAGGTCGCCCAGCACCTGCCCAGCGGCAGACAATGCTTCGGCAATGGAAATCAAACGCTTGTTTGCTGGTTAGCGGCCGAACGTCAGACACAAACGAACACACGTCACACAAACAAACACCAAGCCAACAAACACTGAAACCAAACCAACAACAAACCAACCAACCAACCAAACAAACAAACAAACAAAGAACGCAACAATCAAACCAAACAAAAATCAAACAAAAAAAACAAACAAACACGCAGGCAAACAAACAAGCACACAAGCAAGCAAACAAACAAAACAAGCAAACACACAAACAAACAAACAAACAAACAGACAAACAAACAAACAAACAAACAAACAAACAAACAAACAAACAAACACAAACACCAAACCAGGCCAAACTAAACCAAACCAAACAAACAAAGAAACCAACCAGACAAAAAAAACAAAGAGAAAAAACACACAAAACAATGCAACACACGCAAAACAACAAAGACAAACAAAACAGGGGAAACCAAAGAAACAAACAAAGAAACCACCTTACATACAGTAATGCCTTACACACATACATACCTAGAATGCATACATACATGCATTACAACTTACACTACATTGCATGACATTGCATTACATTGCATACCTTTCATTGCATTACTTCACACTGCATTACGTTGCATACCGTATATAAATTCATAAAGACAAGCCAGCAGACACAACAGCCGGAGCAAACAAAACAACCCTCCGGGGCGCCTTGCTCCCCAGGCCCGGCTCGGCTCTCAGCACCACCTTCTTCTCAACGCAGCGGCGCCACAGCGAGCCGCGGGTGTCCGAGAAGAGGGGCTGAAACCGGGCGACTTCTCAGAAACCGGCGCCCCTCTCTGGGCTCAAAGGTGGCAGGTCGGTGGCAGCCCAAGGGACCCGAAGGAAAAGCTTCAGCTTCTGGCCGCCCAGAGGCCGTGGCCCAAAAGTGATCTGGTCGATTCGTCGCTCTGGGCACGTGAGAGGGGTACCCTTTTACCAAGGTAGGCCCTCCAAGTAGGCGTTGGGTGTGACGTGACAAACTGGGGCGGCCTTTCTTCAAATGGGTTCTGAGAAGGATTTCTGAACCAAAGCCCCAGCAAGTCTTCATTTTTTTGGGAATCCGCTGAAGGATTCACTGAGACAACAATCCGCTGACAGATTCGGCACGGGTTGCATCCCCGTTCCAAGGCGTGGGTGGAAGGCAATCCCGTACTGAAAATTGAGTCTTTGTTTGTTTCGATGTGCTTCTTGCTTCTTGTGCCCCCGTCTGATCGAGTGGCGTCCGGGAGAACTTTCTTTTTTATACCAGAACTGGGTTGACGTTGGAAGGGGAGCAAAAAATCATGTTTTAGCAGTTCAGTGGGGATTTCCCACAAAACCACAATAAGCAAAATCTGGGTCCTCCGGTAGAGAGGTTGCAATAAGGGTACCAACTTTTTTCTGTAGTCTATTTTGGTAGGGGAACCCTCCCCCCAAAAAAGGGACCTAGAAAAATGTAAAAGCTCGGTTGCTTTCTGCTCCCCTGCTAAAAGTGACTAACTTTTAGTGGTTCAATCCGGAAAAACCAATTAGTTGGCTCAAAAAGTTGTTCAGCCCTAGCATCCCTTGGCAACATGCACCAAAGAAATGAAAGGAAACCCAGAAAAATGCAAAATGCTTCTCAAAAACAACCATGAGAATGGTCTGCCCAAGCACCGCAGCTTTCTTGAAACCCATGGCCTTCGCTGCTTTCGCCGCCCTCCGCCCCTTCAACCCCAGCGGGGCAGTAAGCACCTTTCTGGAAGAAAGCGGCAGGAATTCCACTAGACAGGTGGCTCAAAACTTGATTGCTCTTGACCCCCCTGCAAAAAGTTTAACTTTTTGGGGATTCAGTGGAAAACCCCTTTATTTCCCAAAAAGTTAAAGTCTAAAGATACAAGCCAATAACAGTCAAGAAAAAACCCTCGTGCTGTTTTCCAACCCCTGAAGAAACCAGCCTTTTGCAGGAATTCCACTCGAAAGTTGGAATTCAAAGCGAGCCCTGGTTTTGTTGACGTGTTTTGTGTGGGTGGTGGGCGGAATCCCTACATGGCTGGCGTCCTACACCCTGCCAGGTGGAATCGCCACAAGGAATCGCCAAATGTGTACTCGGCGCTCCTCTTCAGCCAAAGGTGGATCACCTATTCTGTAAGATTCGTGGAAAAGCCCTTGGTTTCTAAACCCTTTGGGGGAAAAACACACACAAAGATCAGCTGAAGCTCCGGCCAGAACTCCGGCAGAACAAAACTGTTCCCATCAACATCACACAAGAACTGCCCTCTGTCCAACAATCTCGCGCGTATGTTTGGACCATCATTTGGGCGCGTGTTCGGACGGCGATCTTGCCAAAAAAAGGAGTGGCTTCCAAACCCATCAGCTTCCATCATTCCTGAGTGGATCGGCAAAAGGTTTGACACAACACAACTGCATTCTCAAAAAGGATAAGATGCTCAGGAATTCAGGGAGTGAACAAAAAGGAACCATGTGGGTGTGTTGTAAAAGAGAGGGGAGTGCCCCGGTGGGTTTTCGAGTAGTATCAGCAGCGCAACATCCTACCGCCATTCAGTTCGAACGCACCGCTCTCATCGCAGTCAATCCTGGTTATCATGGCCTGATTTTAAAATGGGGGGCCCCAAGAACGGGGTGGTTTCCCTTGGTTTGCCTCTAAAACCTGACAAGTTGCTCCTGACGAGTACAAAACCTCGAAAGATAATTCCTGAAACGAGTGCAACACCTAAAACAATGGTTCCTTTACACAATTCCGGACGTCTCCCATAACTCCCCCCCGTTCCCCCCCCAGAATTCCCCAGAAACGTCGCGGCTTTTCGGCCTTGAAGACCAGCCGGCCGCCGCACCGAGTGGCGTCCAGCGTCACCCAGGCCGCTTCCGCCTCGGCGTCCGTGCTGGGCGGGCGGATGGGCATCCGCAGCATGCCGTCCTCGAGCTCCTCCGCTCCATGCACAAAGGCTGATCCGCTTCAATTTGCTTCTTCTCCACTGAGCCAATGAGAACATCCATAGGTGTCCTTTTAAGGGAAATAGATGGCCTGGTAGATGATTAAACCACCAGGTAAACCAGGGCCATCTATTTTTCTGGCAAAACAACCAAGAAGGACACCTATGAGAACATCTTTCCAGAAAAGGGTGGCCTCCCCCATTCCCATTGGTAGCCTTTCATTGACCCACACGACCTTGCCTTCCAATTGCTTCTTTTCGCCCACTGGGCAAAAATGAGCAAATGCGTTCCAGTAGTGAAATCGAGTCCCTTTGAAACCAACTGGGCAACAGCCAAAAAAATTGAGCAAATGGAAGGTGGTGAGGGTGGTGAGGCTGAAGCCTGGGGTCTTAGGCTTCAAATCCCCAAGCCAAACCACGAATAAGGGGGCTGAAGGGCTCATGCGAACTGGGTCATTCTCATAAATGGTGTCATCTAAAGAAGGGGATTGCCTTGGCATTACCCAAAAAAAAGGCCCCAAAAAACAGAGCATGCCCACAACATCCCACAACCAGGTCCCTACAGCACTCTGAATCTCACTGAACGCTCTCAGGAACATTTGCCCCCCCTTGAACTGGACCCCAAAATGTCCAAAGAGGGTACGCAAAGACACACACACACACAAAAAAAAAAAATATGGAAGTCAGCCCCCAACCGTGGGCATAGTAAAACGTCCCGCCTCAGGTTTTCGCACAGGAAAGGGATGCCACAAGATCTGAGGGCCAACGTTGGAAACTTGGCAAGGTGCCTCTGGTGGACTTCCTTGCTGTTTGAAAGAAAGAGGTGTGCGGGGGCAATAGATGCAAGTGAGGCGTGTGCAAATCACTTCAGATCACTTCAGTCTTCTAACTTTACCGGCGGGCTACATCATTCTAACTGTCACCATAGGAACTGGGGTTAAGGGCGCTGCAGCTGCAGTTTTCGTTGCGTACAATAGTGACGGCCAGGCTGGTTTGCTGCTGGGGATGTTGCTTTATTGTCGGGACACGATTCAATTGAGACGCTAGGCAGAACTGCTTTCATTTGCGCAACTGTGAGTTTTTCTTTCAAAAATAAAGCCTGCAGGAACTCAGGAAGTGATATTTTGAGCGGTGTTCACTTGACACAAAGACGCGGAAGCAAACCCGTGAGAAATTGAGTCGGCCAGTGGTTCGAACCCCCGCTGAGGGTGACGAAACCCCACATACCTTGGCACCGACTCTCAAGGTTTGTAAGCACCTTGCGCCCTCCCCACTGGAAGAAACCTCCCTGTCTTCCGCAACCCTTTCCTTAGCTTCATGTTGTGGTCTGCTCTGGCGACTGGCGCCTGTTGGTTTGTGTGGAAGGGTGCCCGCATTTCCAAATTGGCCACCTCCAGAAATGATGCGCGAACTGATGGGTCCATTCGCATCAGTGAACAGCCCGGTTTACATAAGGGCAACACAATCAGGCTGGGGCGTGGGGCACTGCTAAACCAAACTTCTCAGTCGCCTCGCCCAAAGGACCCAGAAATAAAAGGTTAACCTTTTGGGGCCTTTACTAAAGATAGACCAAAATTGGAAAACCAAAAGGTTAAAAGGTTGATTCGCTTTGGGCAACTGAGACTTAAGTCATGACCATGAAGAAATGGTTTGCATGTTCCTTTTTAGTGCCATGTTTTTGTGCTTTATTATTCTGGGACAGTCAGGAAAAATGTGTTGAGCAAGCTCATAACTCATACTGTTAGTACCCTTATGCAGCTTGGTTCTTTTGACCCTCTGCCCAACAAAAAGAGAGAATCAGTTTGTGTGGCTCCAACTCGAAAAACCGAGCTGTTTCAACCAACAAGTTAAAGTCCAAAGATCCGTAACCACATAGGCGTAATTAAAGTGTTGAGCTGCTGCCCTTTTTAGGTTGGTTTACCTAAAGAGAAACCAAAGCGCCACCTACCTTCTCAGGGGGAGGGGGGGCGTATTCTGCATTTTGACACCCAAAAAGACCAGTTGCGAAGCCCAAAGATCCGTTTCCAAGCAGGCACAAAGAATCCGGGGTGTGAGAAACTGGACGCATTTGCCCTCCAGCGCCTGAACAACCCGTGCTTCTTGTGCCCTTTTTTGGGTTAAGGCAAGATCAGGTCGGGTCTCGTGTGGGTTCCAGGTGGCTCCTCCCAGTCCGCCAGCTGCACCACCACCTCGCCCCGGTGGTAAAATTTGCACAGCTCCTCCGAGTCCAAACCCTTACACCTGGGAGGTCGAAAGGAACGTGCTGGGACTCGTTCCCTGGGGTCAGTTGCCACCAGTAACATGATGGTTGGGTTCATATAACCACCATTTACCCGAAGATTGTCATCATCCAAATTGGGGCCTTGCCACTCTTTTAATGCGGGCTGAACCCTAGGGTGTTATTTGCCACCAACATGGTCCAAAACCAAAAAGTGACTAAAGTCCGAAACGGAACTTAGGAAGTGCAGGGAAAGGCCATGAATGCCCAAGGGCAAGAGCCTAAATGATGAGAATGAGGTTCTGGGTACGCTTCACGACCATTTGTTGGTCAGTATGTGCCATTTGCTGAATAGCGCCCCCTGAAAAAAACAAGTTCAGTAGTGAAATCGATTTACGGATCGGGTTACATTTTAAGTGCCACTGTGGGCAGTGGCTTCTTGCTGCGACTTCTGGTTCGGTTTACGCCGACGCCCCTTGTGTTTGGCTTGGCCGCGCCATGAGGAAAATTGCGACGGGAATAAACTGCTGCATCTAACTGTTGGGAATGCGCTACTGCTCTGCACAGGTTGCCCCAATCCTTGTGGCAGCGTCTAAGCCAAACCTGCAGCATTTCTCGGTTGCTTTCTGCTCCCCTGCTAAAAGTGACTGACTTTTAGTGGTTTAGTGGAAAACCCCATTAGTTGGCAAAAAGTTAAAGTCCTAACAGCCAAGCAACATGCACTAAAGATTTTAGGGGCTCGATTTTCCGGCCTGGCGCGAGAGGGGTGGCACTGGGCCCTCAATCAGCCCTCGCGATTTCCCTGTCGGGGGTCCTGTTTTTTTTTTTTGTTCTTCGCGTGGGTTGTTTCCGTTGCGGGCATCTGCCCCACCTCCCACCTCAGCTGCCACCACCCAAAAACAAGACGCTCGAATCTGGCCCATGCTTAGTGAACATCAAACCCTCCACTTGCTTGCTTAAGCCCTCCGGAAAAAAACGAAACATATCCACAGTAGTGGTAGATTCCTTTTGATACCAAACAGGGAACACAAAAAGTATCCTTGAGCAAATGGAAGTAACAAGGGCCTGGAAATAGCACACTTTGACACTTTGACCTTTTGGAACCTGGACACCCAAAACAAAAAAAGGGGGACGGACCTAAAACGTCCAAAGGTCGGCTTTGGCTTTGGCCAAGTGGGCCAGTCCTTCCCCCTCCGTCCTCCCTTCCATTCGCCAGGGCACCGCCGAGCCTTGGTGCCGTCATACAGGGCTTGCCAGGGGAACCCGGGGCCGCCCAGCGCCGGCGCTGGGGCATGGCGCTCCGGCGGCGGAAAGCGCTCACCGCCTGGCTATATAACCCCCGGAAAGGATTGTTGAAAATATCCCCCCCTTTGGACCCTTTGAAAGTAGTAGTCCCGAGCTCATCTGCTTTGTGATTTTGCAGATTGATTCACAGAAGAAAAGGAAGAAAAAACCAAAAACAAAAAACACAAGCAAGCAAGCAAGCCAGCCAGCCACCCAGCCAGCCCGCCAGCCAGCCAGCCAGCCCGCCAGCCAGCCAGCCCACCAGCCAGCAACCACAAAAAAAAAAAAAGAAAAGAAAGGAAAAAAAAGAAATAAATACACACAACAAAACAAAACAAAAAAACACGCAAGCCAGCAACCACGCATGCAAAACAAACAAACAAACAAACAAACAAACAAACAAACAAGCAAGCAAGCAAGCAAACAAACAAACAAACAAACAAAACAAGAAGAAAAGAAACACACAATCAAACAAGCAAGCAAACAATCAAACAAACAAACAAACAAACAAACAAACAAAGAAACGACGACAAACAAACAAAGAAATAACAACAACAAAACAAACAAGCAAAGAAACGACAACACACAAACAAACAAACAAACAAACAAACACACAAAGAAACAAACAAAGAAACGACAACAAACAAACAAACAAGCAAGCAAACAAACAAACAAACAAACAAAGAAAGAAAGAAAGAAAGAAAGAAAGAAAGAAACAAACAAACAAACAAACAATCAAACAACCCCCCTTCCCTCATGAGGCCCCCCTGAATACGCCTGAATATACATGACTTCCCCATACCCACCGGCAGAAAGATGCGCCCCCCCCCCCCCCCTCTACACATGTTTCAGAGGACGGGGATAAACGAGCAGCAAACAAAAAGCCCGTGTCGCATGCCCCGCAACCCATAGCCAACACCTTCCGGAACCCCAGCCAACACCTGCCAACCACTCCTAGGCTCCTTTCTCCTCAGCCACCCGCCCGCCCCCCGCTCCCCGCCCCGCACTCGCTCTCGCGCTCTCGCCTTCAGCTGCCGCATAGCCGGCCCAGGGCGAGGCTTCGCGGCCCGGGGCCGCCTCGGACTCGGGCTCCGGGAGGTCCGAGCCGGAGACGTCCTCCGAGCCTCGAAGTTGGGCGCTGGGGTTGGGGGGTTGGGGGGCGGTTGGTGGCGAAGTTGGGTGGGGTTGCGGGGGGGAGGGGGGGGGGGTTGGTGGGGTTTGTTGGGGGGGGGGAGAGGGGGGAGAGGGGGGAGAGGGGGGGAGAGGAGGGGGGAGGGTTGGGGGGGAAAGAGTGGTTGGGGGGGCTTCAGCCTGACATGAGCCATAATCAAAACCAATGATTACTACTAAAATGGTCTACCCAAAAGCTCTATCTACGCGCCGATCGGTGATAACCCACTTACCAATCCCCCGTTCAGTGGAGTTGATCCTGCTATTAGCGGGTTATTTTTAACTTCGCCAAATGCCCAGGCATTGGGGGGACCCAACACTTTGAGAAGCACCTAAATCCAATGCTGTTGAGCGAAGGTAGGCACAACTACCACGTGAGACTCGGTACTAAAGGTCTACCCTAAGTCGTGTAGATAATCACAAGGGTGGCCGGACCGATTTGTGGCTGAGACTGTCCTGCTCGGCTTTTCATTGTGCTTACTTGTTTCTTCCGCTATTTCGTGCACATACCCAGATAAAAGCGATTGTGACATCTACTTTTATCTTGGCATATTGGTTCGAAGCCACAGCATGGTGGCCCTCCTTGCTATATAATAACTCTGAGTCAGACGATGGAAACTCAGTGGGCCTGTCGTTTGAGGCTACCTTCTTGTTTATGGTTTTGAAAGGAAACCCGAAGGAACAAACCACCATCTTGGGGTACCCTGATTTTCTGTTGTCCACTTTATTTGCTTACTTAACGTGTGTTTTCTTATTTCTCAAGTACCCTCTGCCCCGCATTAATTCTCAGGGGTTGACCATGTGCCCAAGAAAGAAGGATGGATTCCGGGCACCAGAGCCTGGTCACGGAGATCGGGGGCTCGCTACAAGAAGAAATGGGCAGTCACGGAAGCCTAGGACCAAGAACTTCACAACGCCCAAACGGTAGGGTGGCAAAAAAAATGCGTTCCCACCAAAATATGAACAGAATCAAAAATAAAGCAAAACTTGAGCCAAGAACAGTAAAGATAAGAAAAGCCAACATGAGCCAAAAAGTGGCTCTAAAAACGAAAGCCAAACGCTTAAAAAAAAAAAAAAAACCGTACTAAAACCACTGAAAAACACCTTCCTGGACGAAAATGTTTGGGGCCTTTTGCAAACAACCGCCATGTGGAACAGGTGCGGCGGTAAATTCTGAGATTGGTATGAACTAATCTGACCGTCTGCTCCAAAATCGATCCGACCTTGAGACGAAGAAGCACTGCAAACCTCCCCAAAATAGGTGCACCTGCCTTCCAGTTGCTCTTTCGCCCTCTTGAAAAATGAAAAACTATGTCCAGTACTGAAATCGATTCCCTCTATCAAACGAAAAGGACACATCAATGAGAACAGTAGTGAAATCGATTTCCATTTGAAACCAAACCTGAAATAAGACAAAACCATTTCAGCAAATATAGCTTACGGTGGTAACCCACTTACAAGTCACCCTAAGTCTCAAAAACAAACTGCAAAAAAAAAACAAAAAAAATCCCAGGCGCTCTCTGACTCATCCCCATCATCCGCCACCGTCATCCGAAGCTGCGCCGCGCTTCCCTCGGCGTCCGTCTCGGGCCTCGCGACCCTTGCTGCGGCCTGGTCCCCCACAAGGCCCTCCACCTGACGTGCATCGACGGGCATCGAGGGTGGCGCTTCCCCTTTTTGAGGCGACCTAACGTCGTTTGTCTCCCTAAAGAAAGCAACTTTTTTCGGAGACAAACTCAAATTTGAGGCGACCTTCGTTTTTGTTTTTCATAATGCCACACTTGAGGAAACACACGCAAACCCAAAGCAGACGCAAACAGGCGTACGGGCCGGCTGCCGGGACGTCAGCAATGAGAGCATTCCAGGCAAATGGCTTTTCAAGGGTACACCTGGGGTAAATTTGCCCAGGTGATGCCCCCAGCCCTGAACCTCCCGGATTCTCGCCCCTAAGCTGCCCCAAACCGCCTATCTGGGCCTATGGTCCCCATAGCTGCCAGCTTTTGAGGAAAAACAACCATTGAGGATATAACTTGTTTTTTTTCAAGACTGAGGGTTTTTTGCAAGGGTACACACTTTGGGGGTGAAACGAAAAGGAAAAAAACACAATTTTGGCGGTCCCCCAAATTTGAGACAAACCAAATCAACCACTCGATTGCGATTCTCATCATGGCTGAAAAGGTGAAAACGGGGGGGGGGACTACTTGGAGGGTCACTTCAGTAGGTCCTGACCAGGGTAAGGGAGCTGACACCAATAAGACTCACTTCCGATCGACTGGATGGCCCCAAAAAAAGGTAACCAACCGTTGATTCACTCCCAAAATGATCCAAGCCCACCAAGTGAGGAAATCCCAGTTGAGCTCAGGAAGTGAGATGTCCTAGAGCCATGGCTGCAGCCAGGGGGTTGAACATTCAAGCACTGCCTTTGCTCAACCTCTCCTTTGAAAGGGTGCAAGGATTGAACTCAACCCCCTTTAAACCCGCAAACAACGGGTACCCTCAACAAAAAACACCCTTATGTGTGGATTGTGGCAGAATCTGCAAAAAACACAATGCCAACCTTGCGTTGCAAATCACAATCCCATTTCCTGGATGCCACCCGGACGCAAGAATGAGGTGCTTGGTCGGAATGCATGAACCTTGTGTTGGAGTCTCTTGGGGGGCTTGCAAACTTGAACCCTGCCTGGCTCAGTGGCTGTTGTTCTCTTTGAGGGCGGGTTTTCATTCCCCAGTAGCACACGGGCATATTAAAGCTGTGGCTGGTTTAGCGCAGATTGACATGGAACCCACAAAGAAACCAGCAAAACTGCACGATGAAGCCTTCGACTGCCGGAGACATGTCTGCCCCGGGTGTCAAATGCCATTTGCAAAACCCCCCTTCCTACTCGCAAAAAGAAGAAGCCCCTGAGAAGAAAGTCCACTTGCCTTGGTTGACGTTGGAAGGGGAGCAAAAAATTGAATTTTAGCAGTTAAGTGGGGATTTCCCACTAAACCAGAACAAGCAAAAATGCAAAATGTAAAACCCAACAACCACCATGGGTTTGGGGCCCGGTGGTTTGGTGCTTTGGAGCCTGGTGGTTTCCCATTTACCCTCAAGGGACCCTCTACAAATCCCAAACCACCGGGCTAACCACCGTGACTAAGGCTTACCTGGAAAAAGAACGCGCGAAGCCACAGTTAAAAACATGTGAGTCAACCTAATGGCAAAACAACAACAACCACAACCACACCCACACCAACACCAACACCAACACCATCAACACCACCACCAAGAACAAGAACAAGAACAACAAGAACAACAAGAACAAAAAGAACAACAAGAACAACAAGAACAACAACAACACGAACAGCAACAAGAACAACAACAAGAACAGCAAGAACAACAACAAGAACAACAACAAGAACAACAACACGAACAGCAACAAGAACAAGAACAAGAACAAGAACAAGAACAAGAACAAGAACAAGAACAAGAACAAGAACAACAACAACAACAACAACAACAACAACAACAACAACAACAACAACAACAACAACAACAACAACAACAACAACAGCAACAACAGCAACAACCACAACCACAACCACAACAACAACCACAACAACAAGAACAACAAGAACAACAAGAACAACACAAACAACAAGAACAACAAGAACAACAAGAACAACAAGAACAAGAAGAACAACAAGAACAACAACAAGAACAGCAAGAACAGCAACAAGAACAACAACAAGAACAACAACAACAAGAACAACAACAACAACAAGAACAAGAACAAGCACAAGAACAAGAACAAGAACAAGAACAACAACAACAACAACAACAACAACAACAACAACAACAACAACAACAACAACAACAACAACAACAACAACAACAACAACAGCAACAGCAACAACCACAACCACAACCACAACCACAACAACAAGAACAACAAGAACAACAAGAACAACAAGAACAACAAGAACAACAAGAACAACAACAACAACAACAACAACAACAACAACAACAGCAACACCAACAACCGCAACCAACCGCAACCAACAACAACCAACAACAACCACAACAACCACCACAACCACCACAACCACCACAACCACAACAACAACAACAACAACAGCAACAGCAACAGCAACA